AAAAAATAAAATAATAAGCCGAGTGGTTGTGGAGGGGTGAGGAGGGTTGCGAGGGGTCGAATGAAAAAGATTATGAAAAAAAAAAAAGAAAAAAAAAAATGATATTTCGAACGTTTCCGATGAAATAGTCATTAATTAAGTAACATCGTTGAGCGATTTTATATGTAACTCGTCCAGTCGTTGCGGAAAATATATTTACGTAGGATATACATATACATAGATATATTTTCCTCTTATATAACGTGAGCGCGTCTATGTATGTATACGTATATCTATATATATATATATATATATAACTATATAAAGCTACATACCAAACTGACCAAATTATAACTTCGTATGAAATCTTGCGCACACGACGCGAATGTTATTTCGTTTATTACAAATCGTATAAAGTCTTTCTCTACAAGAGAAACAGAGAGACAGAAATAGAGAAAGAGTGATAGATAGATAGATAGATAGATAGCTAGATAGATAAAAGGAGATAGAAAATAGGAAGAGAGAGAGAGAGAGAGATAGAGATAGAGATAACGTTGGCATTACGCGTACGGCTTATTTTTTGGATCTTTTTTTTTTTTGTTCTTTTTTTTATTTTGTTTTTTTTTCTTTTCTTTTCTTTTAATTCGCGTGTTCATTTAATTTGAAAAACGTTCCACCCAGACAATTGATTTTTTTCTTCCTTACGCTCTATTCCCATAGGTTTTTTCCCCCTTGATATAATGGATTCCACCATTTTATATTTTTTTCTATAATTAAGCGTACATGCGCTATACTTATTTATCCACAATTTGGGTGTTTCTCTTGCAAATTATTTAAATAACATACGTAGTATCTGCGGAATTTGCTTATAATTACACATACCATACAATTACATATGTAATTATTATATACACACGTTAATTGTTAATCGTGATATTCAATGACAAAACACATTGAATGATTTTTAATTCGTTAGGAAGAAATATGTGTGCGTATAACGTGTCAATAGTCATCGTCGTAATCGTCGTAGTGGGTAATCGTCTAGTTTTTATTTTACTTTTCTTTTTTTTTTGTTTTTCCTTTTTATCGTTGTTTTTTTAACATGTTGACTGTGCCACATGGGTCATTCGCGTCCGACATTTATTCCGTCAATGAGAATGGTGGTGGGGTGGAAGGGGGGAGGCTATCTAAAGAGTCATTTGTGACCGATTTTTTTTTGTTTATCTAATTAATATAATTATTGTTGTTTTTCTAAAGGGAAAATTAGCGCAACCAGTCAACGTGTTAATTAGAACGATTTATCTCACAAACTTCTTCTTATTCTTCTTTTCTTTTTTTTTCTTTTTCTCAACAAGTATTATATATAGCAGTATACGGTAACACTTAATTTCTAATCGTTTCATTAAATTACTTACGTGTTAATAGTTGTGTCGAGATCATTAACACTATATATATTTATATTATAAAACACTATACACATATATAATATATACATATATAATTTTAATAATATTATGTATATATATTATATATATATCTATAATAATAATAATAATATTAATAGTAATAGTAATAGTAATAATAATAATAATATCATATATCTCGATACTCTTCGATAGAATTTTTCTTCATTTAGTTAATCTCAATTTCGACAATAAAGCTCGCAATCATAGCCAAAGCATTATCGTTAGGAGCCAATTGGAGAGGAGGGGGGGGKATTAATGAATATATATATATATATCAAATGATCAACGCCTATCACCACTCGATTAATGAATTTTTATGTTCAGTTTAACGTGTCGCGACATGTCATCGGGCTTAACCTATATTGAACGTTTATTATAATATTATATTATTATACTATAATTATACACGTCTAATGGGTTCATGTCTATCCTCTCGCCAGGCTCCACCGATGTTCATTCACACGGAAATTCACACACACACACACAGATTATTGCACGCATACTGACATACAGATTGACACATACGTATCATGTATGCTATCAACATTTCAATTTTCACATCATTTTCTTAGAGATAGATTTTAATTTTGTTGTTATTGTTGTTTTTGTATTCGTGAACAGGACTATAATAGTAGACTCCTTTTTGAAATTATGTTAACCAGTCATTCATTTATTCCGGCAAATACTTTTCTATAATTTTTTCTTGTTGTTTTAATTATAGTTAGAATGTGTGTTTTGTGGCTTTTTAGTATCTGCGTTAATAATAAGATCATTTTGAAATAAACATTTTTTGGTTTAATTTTCGATTAGTATTACTAATAGGAGAGTTATTTTGTAATAATTCAAGATAGAATTATGATGAAATCATAATGATTGTTATTACGAGGTGGAGAAAAGTATTTGTCAGGATAAATTTGTCACGCATAATAATTATTTAAAATAAAATTTCAGGTCCCTCGCGTCCGCCCAATCATCGTTTTCTGATCCCTTTCCCTCTTTTCGATTCGTTCATTATTATTCGCAATATTAACAAAAAAAAAGAAATAAATTCACAGAAATATGAATAAAAATGTTAAATAAATTTAAAAGACTGTGTAAAATAATCTTATCTGCTGTGTTGTGACAGATTTTTCCATTATATTTTTTCTTTTCATTTTTAAATCGAGAAAACGTAAGAAAATAGATGAAAAACGATATTAATATTTTTGATATATCTTTGCGAATAATAATAATTAATTCTCTTAGAAAGGACGCCATTAAAACAAGTGTATGTATGTATGTGTGTGAGTGTGCGTGTGTGTCTGTCTTTTGTTTAATCGATTAAAACCCTTTAACATTTCCTTACGCTCTATATCCTACGAATTTCTTTTTTATATACTGCAATCTCTAATAGTATTGTCAAACATTTATGCACTTTGGCTAAGCGCATCCTAAGTTTATTTAATAGTTCATCATCATCACCTACATCATCATCATCATCATCATCGTTATACTTATCATTTATTTTCATACATTTCCATCTCTTTTTCTTATACGTATAAACTATTTAAATATTGCATTTGTTTAATTTCTCTTGCAAAAAGATTTGAATGTCCTTAAAATTGCATTATCTTTTGTACATCGGAAAGCTCTTTGGGAATCATACTCGACAAGTGCTTCTCCGTTCTTGACGTAAAGTTCAAACAATCCTTTTAGAATTAAATTTATCAACAAATTTTACTATTTCCTTTATTTTACAATTAAGATATTTATTTTGTCTCGTTTTAAACCAAACAAACAAACACTTGACCCCAAAACCGAAACACAATTAATAGCAGAAAAATATATAATTACAGATCATGCTTTTTAACGTTCAATTAGGAATTTAAGCTGAAATGTTTTTATTTCTAAAATAACGAAAAATAAATAAAAGAACAAATAACTATTATATATAAAAAATAAAAAAAAGAAAAGAAAAAGCAAGAACAGAAACATGCTTCACATGTTTAAGCAAGGATCATCATTTTACGTGATATGTTCCTCGATATGCGTTGTATTCAAGGATTTTACAATTAGATTTATCCTTATTTTTCTGTAAAAAAAAAAAAAAAAAAATAGAGAACGAAAAAAGCAAAACAAGATAGAAAAAAAAGGAAAAAAAACAAGTGATAAACGTTTTTCTAGGGATCTTTTGCGAAAGAGAAGAAACGGACAATCCGAAAAATCATACGGTATGTGTTCGATAACAAACGAATAGAGAACATAGTTCGTTTTTGCAATAAATCTCACGGGATAGAGTGTTTCCCACGTTCACTGTTCTCACTCGTCGCTGAATGTCACCGTTGATTGACTTTTTCCGTTGTCAGAAAAGGAATAATTCCGTGTTATTTCAAGCCTACATACAGATAAAAAGTAGAGAGAGAGAGAGAGAGAGAGAGAGATAGAAATGCTCTTGGTCTTTTTCTACCTGCCTGCCATGTTTTTTTGTATCTACCGTGTATATCAAAAAAGTATCTCTACTGTCGGTGTTCGTGCGAATTAACTAAAAACACAAATCATTGCATGCAATGAAAAAAAAAAAAGGAACAAATAAAGGAAATGATATCCTTCGATTCGTATAATACTTATTTTAGTTTTGAGTCAGGAATAGTATAAAGCCAAAATTCTAACAAAAACGTTAAGCAAATATTGTTTTACGACAAGGCGTGCATAACCGTTTAATAAAAATGAAATATATCTCACTATTCTATCACGTTTTTTTCTTTCTTTCTATCTATTTACATCAGCGTCGAATAGCAATTTGATATTTTTTAACGATACTTATTTTTCTGTTTCTAATATATATATATATCATACTAGTACAATATACATAGCCGAAAGTGAAATAATTTAAATTGCGTTTGAATAATCGTGACCCAATAAAAAAAAAAACAAAATAGAACAAAATGACGATCGTATTTAACGTAAAAAAAAAAAGAGAAGATATTTATTTATTCTAATTTATTATTGAAAGTTGAAAGTATTGTCTATAAATTCGTAGTTGATAAACTCGTTTGGTTAGAAAATCCTTATGTATCCTTATAGATATATGTTAGCTATACTGATTTCGTAGTAGACCGATTCGCGTATATTCCGAACGTGACATGAGAATCGCGTTGGTGGCAGTCGTCGTAAGCTTATTTGCTGACAGTATCAATTTCGGGACGAACAGTGTATACATACGCGAGTGTATCCACCTATATCGTTTGCACCTGGAAACCGCCGATTTCATTTTGTATGAGGGGGATATACACTATGGATCAGAATCGTTATCCATCCATCTTACCGGAGAGATATACTCTTACATACGTGTACGTATGTTACATGTGTATTGTATATGCATACATAGGTATACCATCGAATGTATGTGTATAACTGTATGCGTATACGACTCTCTGCTTACCGTTTTATACTCCATCCTATATAATATTATATTTCTCCAAATCTGAAAGTTTCTTTATGATAAATGATACATGTGTCATATATGTATATATATATATATATATATATATATATATATATATATATAGTGCTTCTTCTATCATATAAAAGAGAAAAATAAATAAAATACCCCCCGTTCGAACTGCCACACGCAGAAATAATATTACGCCCAGTTTTTTTTTATACGTATATGTATAACACACACACACACATACTTGATTTTTCTTTTTCATTTCGAGTTATGACAAATCAATGAGTGGTATGTTATAAATTTCACGCGAATATTATTATGGACACGTAATAATACGTTACGAAAAGAAAAATAAGTAACTACTGAATTGAAGATAAATGAAAAATAAGGAAAATATAACAAAATAATAATAATAATAATAAAAAAAGCGCAAAATCGCATGCACCCGTCGTAATATTATTTTGTTGTTTCCATTGTTTTTATAATAAACATTTCAAGAACGGAGCACAGTACCTTTCGTCCAAAACAATCTTCGGTCCAAATTTTGTATATTGCATCTTTCTGCTATGACCTCGATAAGCAATTCCCTAAATGTTCAACTTTTTTTCCTCTCTCTCTCTCTTCCGAGATGCATTTTCTCAATTTAGTTTTATAAGAACGGCTAACTGGAAAGGAGAGCAAACACGCGAGAGAGAAAAAAAATAGAACAGAAAAAAAAAGAGGAAAATCAAAAACACCGAAGCTGTTCGCGTCTCTCGACCCCGACGAGAAGAAGTGGGTGGCATGGGGGGGGAAGAGGGGAGGGGGAGGGCTGAAGTCTTATCCGTTCGATATTCTTTTCCCTCGTCTTGAACTTTTTTCACGAGACTTCTTCTTTTTTCTTTTTGTTGTTTTTTTTTTTTCGTCTATCTCATCTTTTCGACGTTTCACGAAAAGATCGTAGGGATATCAAGGATTTGGTACGTCCAATTGGCAATAATTCAAGAAAGAAAACGACTAAAGGTAACGACATTACGTTTCTATCGGCCCTTCCCCCTCCCCCGTCCTGCCCCCCCAACACCTTCTCTCTCATATTTCCCTTTTCCTTTTATTTTTTTTGTTTTGTTTTCTCCTCACGCGCGATTAGCCCCTTAGACCGTGAAAGCCTACAAGTTTTTGCAATTAGAAGAAGGCCGTTTTGTTGGAGGGGAACAAAAAAAAGGTCCGATTCACGGCTCGTTAAACCTAAAGCATCCTTTTTTTTTTTTCACCAATTCACTATTTTTGTTTTCGTTTCGTTTCTCATTCATCTCCCCCTTTTTTCCTTTTAATCTGAAGTTTCCCCTTTTACTTCGTAATTCGGTTACTAACTCGGACCGATTTGTTCTAAGTTGGTCGATGAGGGACAGTTCCACCAATTTCCGTTCAATTCGCCGATCATAGAAAGCCGGATCAGGTTCCAGCCTTCCAATTCTCGATATCAAGTGTCGTTAGAAGTGTTCGGCTTGTAACCAAGATTTTTTCTTTGTAGGAATAGATGTATTTCACGGAAGTTTGGACGATCTACGTCGTTACGTTGCCAACACTCGCGCATCAGCTCGTAGATCTCCTTAGGACAGTTCTTCGGCAGTGGTAGTATCATCTGTAAAAGATAAGACGAGGGTGGCCCAAAGCTCGGCTAAAACTTTGGCTAAACTGTCGTTAAGTGTCGAAAGGGAGACCTATGTGACTCGTTTGTCGAACGTCTTTTGCTAAATCTACTTATATAGGTATATATATATATATATGTTTAAGATCGATTAAAACGTTAATATGCTAACGAACTGACGTAATATACTTCGATCAATTATTATTTTGATAACTGTTTGTTAATGAGATTATATCGATTTATTTGTTCATTCGATTATTAATGTTAATTAAAAATCTATGATAAATTCGAAATTGCTGATACACAAATTTGAAGTTATACCATAATAATTACATCGTGTAATCAGTACATATCTCAAATTTTTCGATAAATATTTTATCTGTTTGTTTGTGATAAAATAGAAAAAAAAAGGAAGAGGTACGAGTTAAGCTAGGACGTTCGTGAAAAAATATGAAAAATTCGTTCGAGTAACAATGTGTCATTTAGATCAAAGAAATAGAAAAATAATATAGAAAGGTAAAGAGAGATAAAGATATAAAAAGATAATTATTTGATATGTTATGAGATGGGGGTTTTTCCTTTACTTACTCGTCTGTCGTCCTCTTGGTAAAAATACGTCGCATTCTCGACCACGCGATGATCCGGAAGTTCTTCAAAGGGTTGCTCCCTGGCAAAGGTTAAAATTTCCCATAGCGTGACAGCGAAAGCCCAGACGTCGCTCTTCGACGTGTGCCTTCCCTAATTAGCGTGAAACATAAGACACAAACGACCAGTGTTTAGCCACTTCAAATTGTTTTTTCTTTGTATTATATAAACTATCACGCTTAGAAAATTATCCGACGATATTTTCTATCTCAAAGTTAACATGCCGCAAACTAAACTTCTTTACTTATTTTTTTCTTTCAAAAATTTTCATCATTAACACTCGTATCAATAATAATTATATAACATAAGATATTAATCAATTATTAATAGAAAATATATTGGAAAAATTTAATCAAATTTATATAAAAATAAATGTTATTTATTTAAGATAAAGAAAAGAAAAATAAAGAAAATGTTAATACGCGTGTCTAAAAGGTAGCGTGAAATCTAACACCCTTCTTAGTTAATTATGGAAACTGTATTCACCCTCTTGCGTTCCTAGTTCGACAAACTTGAAGTCTCCGTGAGTGTCTTGGAGTTTAAGCAAAGAGCTTGAGTATAGGAAGGGGTAACTCGTAAAATGGTTTACGTATTAGTGCCATCGGCTTTGTAGTGTCATAGGCTATTGCATGTCACATTTTACGAGATCCTTCCGATTTAATATAAAAAGCAATACCCACTTTTTATATACTCGATCATAATTTTCTTTTTTCTCCTCTTTTATTATCGATATAAACGTTGTTATAATTAATATATATATATATATGTATGTAAGTATTCGTTAGAGGGGAAAAAAAAATATTCGAAGATGAGATTTGTAAAATCTTTTTTTTTGGAAAATGAAACGTTCTCAGACAACGGTAAAAATTAAATTTTATGAAACTACATGAAAAGAAAGAGAGAGAGAGAGATAGAATTCATAATCGATCGATACTTAAACGAGATTATGGTAAATTCTACTGTTAGTTGTGTTATATATGTGTGTATGTATTTATGAAATATATCGATGGATAGTTATTACGAGATGTGTTTGTCATGAGAAGATAAATGGGGATATATATAATTTATATAATTGTTTTAACAATTGTTTTAATAAATATACCTTTGGTTAAACAATTACATAAAAAGTAAAGAAATGTTTAAATTTAAACGTTTTACTCTGAAATTATATTGATTAGGAATATTATTCACTTTATACACATGCGCAACGTTCGGAAAGTCATATAAACAACTTTCAATAAAAGTAAATTTCTAGATGACAATGACTCAGTCTAACAGGAGACTTCGAAGAGGACGGTACACAGAACATATACTTCTAACTTTTAGACAACAACAGACACTTGCATCGATTACTTAACAATTATTTGAACTATATTGCATTCTTTAATGTATTCTATTAATATTTATAATTGTTTTAACGTTAATTCCCAATGATGACTTACAGTTGAAAATTTATTCTAATATTTCAATATTGTACACATATATATATGAATTAATTTATTATTTTGTTCTACACAATAATACGAATTATATTTCAATCGTGTCTTGATAAATGGGCCACGCACATTGTTCTTGTTTTTCTTTCTTTCTTTATTTCTTCTTATCGGGAGTTACACACAGAGAAAAAAGATTTAATAGAAAACAGGAGGAAAAATCATGGGCGTGGAGGATTTTTCGAGTTTGTGAGGGACCGTTAAGTCGAGATATTGCGCGGGGTGCAATATTTCAGGTTTCCATGGGAATGGGTTAGGGGGTTAGGAGCTAAAGGGGGTAGGAAAAAGTGAGAGAACGTTCCGTTCTTTTGTCAAAGGATTAATAAACTTTATGAAGTCATATCGTTGGACGTTCGTCTACTCTAGCAAAGTATCGGATGCGATAAAGTCAACGTTCAATCATCAAAACGACGCTAATTTTAGATAATTCTTGAAGCGGTATTTCGAGCGTATTAAGCGGACGCGTTTCATTAGCGCCAGTACAATAGGCAGCCTCGGATAAACGATGAGCAATAATGAAGCATTAATGATGCAGTCAATTTTAAACGACTATGGGGACGACGGGGGCTGGGGGATGAAGGGAATTGCGAACTCGAGCGTTCGTTGGTCAAGTATTAAATATAACCTCCGATATACCAACGGTTGCTTTTTATCCTTTTTCTATTTTCAGATTATTTTATACCCCCGTTCATTTTTATTTTATTATATAATACTATATACGCAAATATATATTTTGGTTTTTTCTAAATTATAATACATCATATTCCGAATTTCGAATTCGGTTGGTCGACCGAAGACACTCTTTTTGTTCTTTTCCTATTTTTATTTTTATCTTATTCGTTTTATTTTAATTCCCATTTATTTTTCTCTCTCTTTCTCTCTTTTTTTTTTTTTTTCAGACTAGAATAACTCGGCGAACGGATGGATGGATGGATGTATTATATAAAACGTTATGAAATGCAAAAAAAAAAAAACGAAAAATGATGATACGATAGAGGGGTGAGAGAGTGTGTAAGAGTTGTGATAAAATTATATAGAAAGATTTTCTAACGGTCAATGATGATGCTTTTGTATTAAAAATATTATTGGATCGACTTACTTGTGTTGAAAAAAAAGTATTGATCATTTTGTAAAACCACAACGTATCAACCAACGGTTTACAATACAAATTTGTGATTTGAAATTCTATCGAGATACTTTGGAAATTAATGATTTTTCTTTTTTTCTTTTCTTTTCTTTTCTTTTCCCCCTTTCAAAATTTTCGATGGAATCGTTCGAAATTTTTTTAATCGACTCTCTTTTTTCTTTCGCGTAAAAAAATATGTCCGACGTATGCGGGGTGGGTGGGCAGCAGCCCGATAGTTTTGACGGTAAAAATCTTGAAATGAAAATCCCCGTTTCAAAAAATTTTATCGATCTTACGTCGTAACGCTTGACAAGATTTATTATCCACGTAGAAGAAAATTAATTCTATTAAATATAACCGAATTGTGTGATATTATAAGGAAAATTTATCTCGTAGATCGAAATATTATCTTTTTCTTTTTTTTTTTTTTTAATAATTATTACTTTATACAAACGAATATCCGTACGCGTGATAAATATGCAATCAATATATTTCATTTTGCGAAATATTAATACGAATATTTCGTTTATACGTGTTCCCTTTTTCATTCTTTCGATTCCCCTTTTTTATTGTTAATTATTCGATCTCATTATTATCAAAAGAAATATGTTTCTTTTTAATCAATCAACAATTATACGTAACCGTGTTAAATAATCCGCCGCGTTTTGAAGCATTTTTTAATGTTACGTTTTAGTAATCGTCATCGAACATTCGTTAACGCGTTTCAACGTCATATTTTCCAGATCCTTTCGTATTCGTATTTGTCGATGTATATGTTAAAAAAAATAACGTTCGATTTGTCGCACGTATTTCGTTCGGGCGATTAACGAAAACTGGATTGGTGGACTTTGGGGAGAAAGAATAAAAAAAAAGAAAAAAAAAGGAAGGATACGCGACGTAGAAAAATCGAATCTATAGTTCAACTCCGGTTTTGCTCTAGGTCGTTATTTTTAATCGTCACGATCGTCTGATATAATAACCATCGAGAAATCGAGATATCGACAAAACGATCGTCTAAGCAATAGTTTTGCGTTTGCTTATGGGACTTGCTTTGAACTTTTTCAAAAGTTTTGTCTCCACTTTGAGGAAAATAACATTGAGTGAAAAAAATATTCAAAGTAAACCGAATTTCATCGGGAATACGAGAATAGATAGATAGATAGGTACGTAGGTATATATATATCTATATATATATATATATAGTATATATATATACCACCTATATATGTATGTATTCACAATTCGCCGAAAGCACACCTCCGTAACGCTGGAATGAAATCAAAACTGCTCTCAACCCGTTTTATATAACTGGACTACTACTACTACTACTGCAACTACAACTACTACTATTACTATTACTACTACTACTACTACTACTACTACTCTTACTGCTACTCTTTTTCCACCTTTCGCATCACAGGATATATAAAGTCGTTCTCGCCCGATCGGCTCTTTCTATTTTGTTTTTTATCTTCTTTTTTTTCTTTTTTCCTATTTTCTCTCTCTCTCTCTCTTTTTATCTATCTTTCTCTCTCCTCGTTAAATACTTTTGGTTTCTTTTAACGAGTGAATCCCTACGTATATTTTGTTATCGTTGGGTAACAAAAAATTGATGCGAATATTCGTTGAATTATTTTCGATTAAACGTTCTCTACTATTAGCGTACAACATAAAGAAAAAAAGAAAGAATTAATCTAATCATTTATTCTCGTGATATTTTTTTCAAATCTTACCATCAGCATGGATTCCCAAGCCATCCATCTTATGGGTAAAGGTGGTCGTCCTTCGATTCGGAAATAATCGGCCGCGTATGCGTTCCTACCAGAACCCAAGTCTGATATCTTGATGGTATAATTTTGACACACCAAACAATTTCTGTAAAATAAAGAATAAGGAGAAGAAGAAGAAGAAGATACCAAAAGAAAAACAAAACAAAAAAAAAAACAAGAAAAAGGAAATACGTTAAGAACATATTATTTTTACGGGGGTTGGTGTGGTGGTCTTGTTTGGAGAAAGGAAAAAAAAGAATCTTTCCTCATTTTATTTTACATTTACTTTTATTTTCGATTTTGCGAAAAGGAAAATAACGGGGGGGATAAGGAAAGAAAAATCTCCATAAGAAACGTTTACGAAACTTATCTGGAAAGAAATAAAGAAATAAAGAAAGAAAGAGAGGACGAGGATTTTTCTTCCAATAATTCTTTTTTCCAGGATTTGGAGAACTCGATGAAACGAACTCTCGAGACAGCCTTTACGTCGTCGTTCAAAAGTTTCTTTCCTGATTTGCAACGTAAAATCCAGGTCGTTTATCGTCTCGCCTATTTCGGAAGGAAGGAAGGAAGGAAGGAAAGAAGATAGCAAAAGAGAAAAAGAGAAAAAGAGAAAGAAAGATTTAGTGGGTACTCCCATCACCCAGTCATTCCACTGTTCCATGTTTTTATTTCATAGTTTCACGAACATAATACATTCTCAGTACAGTACTATTTTCTTTCTTTCTCTTTCTCATTCTACCTACAACCAGATTTACTCTCAACTTTTTCTACTCGTAAAAATATAAAAATCAGACGAATTCTGAATTTTTCCTTCCTTTCCTTTCTTTCCTTTAACTCATTGTCAGATTTTCGCGAAGTACCATAAATAAATCCTTTATTGACACCTACTTAACATCTCACAGGTATTTGGAATTTAAAGTGATTTAAAATAACGTAAAGCTACATTATTTTCTCTCGTTTTCAAATAAAATGTTACTTACTTTATAGCCTGTGTATATAACTATTTACCATATTATTTATTTATTTATTTATTTTAAGTTACGTAGTTTTTTTCTTTGGAATAAATTTCTTTTTTTTTTTTTCTTATGCACTCAACAATAATTAAAACCAACGATGCTGAATTTCCCGGGTGAGATGAGAAAAAGTTTCCAAAATCTTTGAGATTCATTTTCAAGAGAGGAAAGAATAATGAAACAACAACAACAACAACAATAATAATAATAATGGAGTTCCCTTCTCTCTTATTTGATATCTTATCCGATAATTTAAGCAAGAATTTGTTTCAATAAATTATAGAGACTAATGGAACTTTATATTCCGGATACTTTGAGTCTAAGGTTTGGGTTCTGTGAGTAGGTCTTAATATCGAGCCAAGTTTCCCGACAAAGGCGTTATGATCAAGGTTTATGATCAGAGTTAATAATTCCAACACGTGACGTAGTGCGTCGCCGCCTTGTGACGGGGCAAACCCTTCTTGAATTTAATGACTTTGTGCCAGCTTGGTTAAACCCTTGATGCGACCTTAAAGACCGAAGGGGGTTCGAAAGAAAATATAGTAATATGAAAGGGTTCGAAGGAAACATAGGAGAACCAGCTAATTTCGTTTAACGTTTAAAACGTTACCTTCTTCGTTAGTTGTTATTCCATTTGATCCATTTGTGTTGGGGTGCTGCTGGGTGCTGGGATGCAGTTGGATAGATGGAGTAGGGGGGGGGTAGAAGGGATAGAAGGGTAGGTCATTTCGAGAATAGAATTAAAAGACGAAGGAAAAGACAAATGAGGGGCGTGTTTGTAGGTCTTGTTCGTACTATCTCGCGAGAGGTAGGTAGGTAGGTAGGTAGGTAGGTAGGAAGGTATGGTGTCGTTACCTTGTGGCTAGATCCCGATGCACGAAGTCCATTTCCTCCAAGTACTTCATGCCAGATGCTATTTGCGTGGCCATGTAAACCAACGTGCCGAAACTAGAACACGAAGAACAGGCGGTTGTTGCCGTCATTGAATTTGCCACGAGAAACTATGTATAAGGTTAAGTCGTTTGCATCGGTTATATTGCGGATATACGCTAACGATATAATACATAGACAGGTGTTGGTGGGCTGTTCAACGAATACCGTGAGATAGATAGGTAGATAGATAGATAGATAGATAAATAGATCGCGTTCTCTTTCTATTCTAGATTATATTATGAACATCGTATATGTTTTACTGTTATATACATATATATACAATCTTGTAACATTCTAATAGTTAAATTAATTGTCTTTCTTATTGCGCTTTCCTGTTACTGAACTAACAACAAGTTCAGTAACAGTTATAACTACCGAACTTGTTCGGTGTGAAAACATCACGTGGATTAACTATCGTGTTCACTTGACAGATAATAACATCTTCCATATCTTCGCCTAGACATTTGATTTACTTTTAATTAACTAGGACATTTTTACAGGATAATTTCATTAGTTCGCGATCATTGCTTACACATTTTTAAACTGATCCGTAATTGAATTTATCTACTTTCTATTTTTTAACAATTTTATCTTTTTTCTTTTTATTATTTTTTTTTGTTTTCAATGAATATATCAATTGTCAGGTTTTAATTGGATTCAATTTGTTCGTTGTTAATACTACGACGTATTATTTACGTTTTGAAATATAAATAATTCGTAATACTTTATAGTTAGGTGGATATGTATGTTTTGATGGGGAGGGGTGAATAGGGGGGGGGAAGAGGAAATGGGACATACGTACATATGTCGAATAACGAGAGACGGAAACTTGTTCGGCAAATCCGTGAACAGGAGTTACGAAAAATGCGTGTTGTCTCCTCGTCGACAACTGTCACGTGCACCAACAACGGGCGGGGGGCGTGGGGGCGTGTGTGGGGGTTTAGGGGGATCCTCTCTATCGCTCACCTCTCATTTTCAGCCGATTTCGCGTATCTTTCGAGTGCTATCGAATTCGACTCCCGTTTCATTTCACGCTTTTTTCCCCCCTCCCCCCTCCGCCTCCCACCCAACTCTTTTTTTTAACTCCACCACACCTCATCCCACCCTCGCCACCTGTATTTTGTCCTATTCTTCTTTTTTTTTGTTTTTGGTGGTTTATTTTTTTTCTCTCCGGTAGTTCTCCATTGTTCCATTTACCTTTCAAACAATAATTGAAAATAATGTCGCTTTATCATAAGAGAGGTTTGACAATCATCGTTCTTCCCCCTCGCCGCCTTCCCCACAAAAATCCTCTTTACTTTTCCATGGGTATCAACAACATTTGACGAAGTATACTCGACCGATGTCACCAAATTTGTTCCCCATCGATATTATTTCCTATCTCTCGTGCGTGGTGTTGAAAAATTGAAATAAAAAAATAAAAAAATTAAAAGAAAGGGGAAGGGCATACTCGTTTTGCGAATTAGATCTATGAATTTGTTCGCGGGCGCATGCGCGTGTGCGTTTGTTTCTTCTTCTTCTTCTTCCTTTTTTTTTTTTTCTTCTTTTGGTTAATCCTTATTTTATTTTTTCATTTTGCGTTCTGCTCAGTCGGAAGGATAAAATAGAGAAAAAAAAGAGGTGAGGGGTGGGACGGTAGGGATTATCCAGACTACGTGTTATTTTTTTTAATATTGTTCGCGTCAATATACACTTCGTGAATTATAATACGCAGGCAGGATGTGAGAGTTAAGCTGATTTCGAGAAAATATATAGAGCGGCAACGAGTACAGCATTAAATTTTGTTAAAACCATGTTTTTATCTATATATATATGAGTGTGCGTGCGTGCGTGCGTGCGTGCGTGCATGTTTATACGTATACGTTTTATACATATATTATATATAATTCTATATAAATGTGTTTGTGAATTTATTATTCGTATAGAAAACTGACGATGGTAACTGAAAATTAATTGATCAAAATCGTTTTAGTAAATCGGCCAAAGTTGTGAATTCGTTGCACAACACGTTATAAAGTTGAGAATATAACGTCTAATGATTTTCAATGCTATCGATGAACCGAAATCGGTGCTAGCTCGCAAACACAATAACGACTTGTCCATTAAACGATGCTAATTGTTCGATAATGGGCAAACTCGCCATGGGTATATATATATATATATATATATATGTATTCCTAGGAGAAACTACTATACCTCCCAATTGTTGTAGAATCGAATATCCCACGATTAACTTTTTTTTTCTGAGTAATAATTCAAAATCTCTTGCGATCATTAACGAGATAGTTATTTAAGATCGTTCTATTTCTATTTCCATTGAAATCTATCGCGTTTCCACTACATTTTTTTGTTTTATCTCTATCCCTCTTTTGAAATATATTTAAGAAAAAAAGACAAAATTAAAATAATAAATTTTATTTTTTTTTGTTCGGAATTATCTTTTACCGACATAGAAAAGAAAAACAAATACAACAACGAAAAATAAATAAAACGTGCTCTTTACAAAAATCTAATTAGGTTCTCTTTGTTGAAAATATTTTCCTATTTCATCAACGTAATTTAATATTTCATTTCCACGCTGATATTAATTCTTTTCTTTTTGTTTTTTTTTTTTTTTTACACGAATTGTTAACGCAACGATGATTTTAATGAACATTAAATATATAATTAGTGTACAAATAATAAATGAATTGTTGTTAGTTAAAAATATATTTACCTCAGTGTCTTGGCAGTGTGCACGGTTGAAGTTTCGGCTATGTGATTTTGTAGGTACTGATTCAAATCCCCATAAGCGCCATTTTCCAATACGATACACATAGGATCGTTCTCAAGACTGGCACCAAGCAGTCGACCAACGTTACGATCTGTGAGACGTGCCAATCTTTTTGCCTCTTGTTGAAATTCTATCCTATAAAAACATACATCGTTACATTTACGAGTAATTTCTTCATGGTGTCCTTCTACTTTCTTTTCTTTTTTTTTCTTTTCGCGTATCAGGTTTTTAGTTATTGAATATTGGAAGAAAACTTATATTGAAAGTATTGCGAATGTTCAATCGATATATGCAACATAATACTAACGTGATCACGTTGTCTAGTATTTCGATTGGAAGACAAAAAATATTACAAGAATGATATTATTACGATCTAATCATAAAATAAAATATTGTCTTTTTATTATATCTTTTTTACGAGTCCCAGTTAATGTTTTTTCTTTTTTTTTACGTACACTTTATCACACTTATTCCACATTTTTAAAGAGGTCATATTTGTGTGTCTCGTGTAGAAATATATATATATATCAAATATATAAATTATATATGAAAAAAAATATATTAAAATATAAAATATAATCTTATATATTATAAGTATCGGATAGTATACAATTTTGATTATATTTTTTTTCGAATGGGCCACTCATTCCATTTACTAACCATGCCCATCATTATTCGACTCTTTGATAATCCAACAAAAACTAAATAATATATTTCAACGCAACTAACATAGAATAATAATAAAATAAAATATATAGTTGCATGAAAAATGATAGAAAAAAAAAAAGTAAAAGAAAATGTGTAACGCAAGAAAATAATTAATTAAAACGCGTTTCTCTATTACGATATCGTTATAATAAATGATGGAATTAGGTGAAGGGGGTTGCGTTTAGAGTTTAAGACGAACTAAGGGATGGGGAAAGGGATGTGGAAAGGGATGGGAAGACGAGGATAAGCTGTTTCGCGGTTATACGAGGAATACGTGGAATGGCGTCGAGTTATACTACGCATCCGTGCATAGGTACAATAATCGTGGTGCTCTTGTAGTTTATGACATACCGTTCAAACGTTCTACGCTCCCAGACGAGAAGCATCCATGAAATTCCATCTAGGTGCGTAGTTAATCAACTAAAATGCATAATTATCGCGCGCTACCGAATTAAATTGAAATCGATCGAACAATATCGATCATTTCCCATACGAATGATTTTATTACCATCCTCCCTCCCCCGCCCTTCCACTTTTTCCCTTTAATTTCGACGAGTAAAAGAAAAAAGAGAAAAAGAGAGAGAGAGAGAGAAAGAGAGAAGGGGTAATAGATCGTCAAAAATGATTATAGAAAATTTCATCGAAAGCGTTCGAAGTTAAAAGAATTTTACCCCAACCCCTGATGTCTCCGGCTCCAGTTTCCCTCTTCCCCCAACCCTATACTTTTTTTATTTTTTTCTATTCCTTTCTCACAATCGTACAGTCGAACGATGGAATATAATAAACCGAATCGAGAAAATGCATTGGCTCGTAATATAGGAAAATTCGTTGGATGGTTACGACTAGTATAACGATGACGATGATGATTATGGTCAGTCTTGGTGGGGGGTGGTCGGATAGTCGGGGAAAAAAAAGAAAAAAGAAAAAAAGAGAAAAGTATACCTATCTCTAGTCGTATTTTTTGTTTCTTCTTTTTTTTTTTTATTTTTTTTTTTTTTGGTCAGGGTCGAACATTCATTTGCGTTTTTATCTTTACTTTCTATTCTTTCCTATCTATTCCTTTCTCATACCACCCCCCTTTACTTTTCTCTGCCAGTTCTGTCTGTTTCTTTTTCCTTTCATCGAATCGTTTCCCGGATGAAACTATGTCGTGCGAAAAAATAAAATGAACGAACGAACGAACGAACGAACGAACGAACGTCGCGTTCAGTCTAACCGTTCAACCCCTAACCACCCCTAACCCTGTGCTGCTAGCTAGTCTTGTACCCTTGCTCTGTGAACGATAAAACGTTTCGTGGCTGATAAAAGCTCGCTTCGACGTACGACTACTCGATTCCTGATCCTTTCTACATCGTCGATAACGCGTCGTTGATTTTCCAACGAAATGTACTTTCCGCTTCGTTTCCGATCTGGTCATAGTGTACGAAACCTAGTATAGAATCAATACGATTTCAATTCGTTAATGAAATTTCTTATAACGATATTAGAATTCAATAATAATAATAATAATAATCATCATCATCATCATCATTTCTAAATAAAGTATTTATATACAATACGTTTTCATTATAAATTTTATATATGGACATTTATTTCATATTAAACTCATTGATATTGATTATCTTTTGTTACAAATTAAAGCGACTTATATGATTATGACTACAATGATTATTGATTATTATTTTGAATTATTTTTTAATAGAAAATATCAAATGATTTATCGAATAAAATGAAGAATCATTTTTACCAACAATATTGCATACAACATTAATGTAAAATTCTTGAAGTATTAGATTAACGCGAATGATTTAAATTGAAAATAAAATAATATAAAATTGATGAAAGATAAAAAGAGAAAATCTTAGAGATGGTTGTTTAAAAGAACTCCTACTACTATGACACATACACACACATAAATATATATACGTCAACTTACTTAAGAGCATTCGACGATCCTGGCTTTAAAGATTTAACGACGACTTGATCGCTGTCTGTGTTCCTGAAGACGTCATCGTATCCAGGAAACCTGTCGACCTCGCAAAGATGTACGTCACCGAAATATCCACATCCGAGATTCTCAACGATGTTGAGCTTTTCCCGTGGGAAGTCCAGGATGCACTCAGCCGTATCATCCTCTTCCTCGGTAAGCGTGTCCTCAGCACTGTAACTCGTCAGGCTACTTGATGCTTTTGCACTCATAGCTGCTGTTGTGCTTGGTGTCGGAGAAGGTGGTAAAGGTGGTAAAGGACTCTGCAATATCAATGAAAATCGGATCACCAATAAACCAAAATCATTCGAACAACCGACAAACATAAATATATGTCTCGTTGAATTAAATTCAATTTTATTGTATACTTAATGTTATATATTTTCAACCTGTGTGTCATTTTTTTTAAATAAATATTTTCTTTTTTTTTTTCTTCTCTTCTCTCCAATTTGATGGATCAAATTTTTTCAAACGAAAAAGAAAAAAGAAAAAAAAAGAGAAGAATGAAATAAATCTACCTACAGATACAGATTTGGTTTTATTTGATCAACGAGATATATATTTATATATCGTTGGTAGGATGAAAATTGGTGGAATGTTTATCATCGTCAGGAACTAAAAATTAAATGATAAAATATCACAATTCGTACAAATATCGTACCTTTTTGTTTCTTTTTGCAAAGAAAAATGTTTATAATGAGATTTCCTGAGAGATGGAAGAAAGTAATATAGAACAGAACGATTCATATATAACAACACTAAATCAATCTTAAACAATAAATATCGTTTATTGATTTCGCATCGAAAAAACAAAACAAAAAGTAAAGAACTTAGGGGGTAACCTAATATTATTCTATATACTTACCTATATCCGGTAAGAGAGTTTCATTCCTTTTTCGAGTTTTATGCTGCGCGGTAAAGTAAAAGATAGGAGTAGGAGTAAGAGTAGGAGTAGAAAGAGGAAGAGGAGGAGGATGTACGACAGAGAAATTCTAACGGATCAAAATAAGGAATAAAAGCGTAGCGAGATTAACGTCGTGAGAACGATCCTTACGCTCCGATATCGCAAACTTCTCAAAAGCGTACTAGCTTTGCACGAAATTCAACAACCTCTCTTGTATTCTAACTTGAAGCAGACAGGCTTTGCTTCTTATTACTCGAGTGATCGTATTAATGCACCTAAAGTAATACTAGTAGGATCGTTTCGATCGCGTGTCTGACGTTAGTATATTTTTCTTTTTTTCTTTTCTTAAGGCTCACCTTACAGATCTCTGTACTGGCATAATATTTTTCCGGTGGGGGTGGTATAGGCGGTGGATTATTGGTTGGATATTCTTGAACCGTTGGGATTGGCCTGGCAAGCTCGATCGGCGTGTTCAGTAACACTGGTTGCACCTCGCTAACACCTGGACAATAATTTGACGATAATGATAGAACATTCAAATCCTAATAGACATTTTTATTCGCGAATAAAAAGAAAAAGAACAAATGGTTAACAATAATTTGAGAACAAGAGAAGTCTCCGTAGTATTTTATGGTGTATCATTATTAAATATCAAGTTGAACAATTGTAATTGTAAAATGTGGCTTATCGAATGGATTTTTTTTTTCTCATATATTTCTTAGAAATATTATAAAATATTCTATAAATGTATGCATGTATATATATATATGTAGAATAGGTACTTATGTTATTTTCTTATTTATCGAATTTGATAGAAATATATATACTTGGAATATGGTACGACAAACTCATTCTTTATATCCGACTTTGGAACCTTTCCGTTATACTTTAAATCGAAATCTATTTATCAAAAAAGTTAAAAAAAAAAAAAAAAAACGAGGTTATATAGAGGAAAATGGTAGAAGGAGATGAAATCACGAACAGTTTGGAAAGTAAATTTTCAAAGTTTCCAACTTAAGAATTTGTCTTCTCTTTCGTATATATTCTCTCGTATATGAAATATAAAAATGTTGTTTTCGAGTAAGGTGAAGAGAGTGGAACCCACCTAACTCTTGTACGTTGCGAAATGTACGGAAAAGGGAAACGCCATTTCATACGAAACGAAATAGTTAGGAGGATGATCGAAATTGTGTCATTCGAATACAGTGGCCCAGCAATTCACCACGGAATCTCTCTCTCTCTCGTTGAGTTTTGAAAATATAGTAGAACGAAACTATCGAATATCGTCAATGAAGCGAACCACGAGAGAGTCGATCTACCGAGTAGGGAAAATCAAAAGCAGTTTTCGAAGACTTTCTTTCTCTCATTTTATCCCGACGAAACGAGAAATTGTCTATCATAATATTTTTCTTTTCGAATTGTCAGCGCGTGTATATATATATATATCTACTTTATTTTATAAATTAAAAATTAAATAATTAAATAAATTTTCACTGATTCTCAAAACGCGATCAAAAAAATTATTCAAATCATTTACACGATTTTAAATTATTAAATAATCCTAAAAGTATTTCTTAAATAATACAAATACACACAGATATTTATCATATACTATTATTATATGTGAATATCATTTAATCGATAACTATTACAAATTAATCCCTACAATATTATCTTCCCTTAATAGAATATTCTAATATATATATATACACATCTAACATTTAGATAAGTAAAAGGAACATTTGAAAGCAATCCGAAATACTCTTATGGATGATCAAAATGACATGGGATTGCACTCTAAAGAACATTACTTCAAATATAGAGACACCTTTGTTGGGATAGTGTATCGAAAGGTTTGAGCATAGAATGAACTTTGACACTAACCTGTATAATTGGCGATGGTCTCGTGAAGCTGTGTAGTCGTGTTATAGGTAGAAGGATGGTATTGGGCTGGTAGAGGGGGGCAAATTGGTCCCTTGTCCTCGCTCTCTTCCTGTACCGAAACCTGCGGTCGAATATCAAGCGTTATCGTTAATGCATCTGACATTTATGCACACACATCGAGCATGTAGTATATTTGAGAGAGAAAGCTAGGGTTAAAAGCGATACGCTGCCAGAAACTATTCCTAGTATTCATACTCTTACTCATACTATCATAGTACTCATATAGTCGTAGGTACTCATATTCATTCTGACTCACTAGTTCACTCGCATACTCGCCCGATCTCACTCATTCTATTTCTCTTTCTCTCTCTTTCTCGCAGAATATTCATAGCCGATGAAACGGAAACAGAGAAACGATTCGAGGACCAACTCACACGCCGTTATATCGACCCATGGATATTGTACATCGAACGACGTTTCATTCCTCTCACTCTGCGGGCTCGAAGCTGCGTTATCGATTCATCTCCGGATTAAATTCATCACGACCAAGAGAGAAAGAGAGAAAGAGAAAGAGAAAGAGGAGAGGTGGTGGAAGGAAGAGAGCAATATTTCGTTGCATCGACTGGAGTATGATTATTTATCGATATTCCTTTTGATAATCGATATATATATTGTTATATATGTTACCGTCGAAGCCGGAAATCAGTCATTGCTAGTAATTCCTCGGCATTGTTATCAATGCAAAGCGCCTTCCGACGAAGTCGGAAATAAGACTTTTTACAGTTTTGGTAAATATTTTTAATACTAAAAGTGAATAGATTTTAATGAAACTTATATTAA